TAACCAAACCAGTGGTAGCAGTTGACATCTGAGTCAGATGACCGCCTGTATTACTTGGGATAAATGCAGGGGGTACCTATTGAGTTAATAGCCAACAAACATTGGCGAATCAAGGGGTCTAGCCGGCCTACGCCGCCTGGTACCTCTACTTCTCAAACAAAAGTGACGGCGACTGAGTAACTCCAAAGTTAACTCATAGTCACTCCTTCAAATTTGGTATGGAACCTAAAAAGTTTGAGTCGTCCGCCTGTTTTATACAAACAAGGGCACTCGAACCCCTATTCCTACTGGATAACCTATTGAGTAAATAGCCAACAAACATTGGTAAATCAAGGGGTCTAGCCGGCCTACGCCGCCTGATACCTTTACTACTCAATCAAGATTGTGACGAAGACTAAGTAACTCCTATGTTAACTTAATAGTCACTCAAACTTAGTACTGAGCCTAAAAGGTACGAGTCGTCCACTTGTTTTTAATAAACAAAGGCTCTCAACCAATACTCTTGCTAGGTTAACAAATAACAAATTAGAGGCCAACATTGGCAATAAAGGGAAACAACCGGTACCCGCCGCTTGTTTTCCTACTTAAATTCCTTGGCTACTTGGTAATTCTATTTACTTGGTCAAATTGAATAAAGAGTTCGAATACCGATTGATTAAATGGCCGACTGATCATCTATCCTGGAAACAGACAACCAGTCGTCCAGGGGCATAGGCGGCATACTTACTATTTGTACCTGTCTTAACGTTCGGCCATACACAACAGTCTGTCTAGTGAGCAAATTTCAAATACTTAGACAAATTTGAACAAAAACAAAAAATTTGATTAAAATGAGCCGGCCATAAAAGACCAGCAGAATATTCAAAACCCCGGCCCCCTGGCCGGGTAATTACAAAGCAAACGGCACGCAGGCCGTGAAAAGAAAAAATATACTTAAAGCTTAAGAAGGGGCAGTTCAGTATCAGCAGCAGCCGCCTGGTCAGCACTCTTCTTGCTGGACTCGGCCTTCGCTGCATCATCTTTTGATGCCTTACCCCCAAGTGGCACAAGCGCCACAACCGGCTCTTCCTCCTCCAACGCAACGTCCATCGCCTCTTCTTCAGCAGCCGCCAGGATCTGTTGATTATATATTTCCGAACACTGGCGGTACGTTCTTTCCCATGAGGCAAAGTCGGCACTGGGGAACAGTCGTTCCCAGGTCATGCGTTGGATTTGGGCGGAGTCTTCCACCATCTCCCGGACGAGCTCTTGTTTCTCTTGCTCGGCCTTGTCCGAGAGCTCTTGGGTAAGACTCTTCTCCTGGTTCACCAGGCGTTCTTTTACGTTAGCCAAAGATTTCTCCATGGCTTCGTAAGAGTGCATTTTCTGACGAAGGGGCTTCAGCTCGGCTTTAAGTTTGGTGACGGTCCCCTCCAGCTCGTCAACCTTCTTTTGGGCCGCCTCTAGCTGAGCCCGAACAGCGGCGGTCGCCTGCGCCTGATAATAAAGAAGATCAATGGTCAGTACTTCATTTTGGGCAATTTGAAACATTGCTTTATCACAGCTGGAGGCGGCCATAGCCTTTGCGGCCTTTACCTCTTTGTTTTTCCGATCAATCGGCTTGCGAAGGCTGTTGACTCGGAGCAGGGCCTAAGTACAAAGAAAAACAGGCGTCAGTTTCCAATCATAAGGGTTAACAGGCGTCCTGGAACTTCAAAAGGGTATACCTCAGCTAGGATCCCCGAAATTCCATCGAGGTCAAGGGTGCCGGCACCCTTGACCGCCTCCCTGTCAGAGGGAGGAACTACTTTAACCATTGACTTGGCTACCTCAACCAAGTCAAGTCCCTGGGGGCCGGCTGCATTAAGCAGAAGGAAAAACAAGTTAGACCTAATCAAGAAGGAAGCAAGAGTGAGTTTTTACAAGCAAGTGTCCATACATCTAGGCGGCCCCGCCTGGGTTTTTGAAGAAGTGGCCGGCTGCTTCTCAGCCGCCACTGTTTTCCTGGAAGACCCAGGAGAGCTTGCAACAGTCGTTCTCCGGGCCTTGGGGTCCGGCTGTTGCGAGGAAGAAGCCCTTGGAGTGCCAGACTGAAAACAAAAAGAGTTAGTATATGCATAATACAACTTAAAGGGGAAGAGTTTTCAAAGCTTACCAAGGGTGCCTCCTTGCTGGGGGAGTCGGCGTACGACTGCTTCATTAGCGAAACCCGCAGCATGGCCGCCGCAGTCTTAGATGCTGTTATTTTACTCATGGCGTCGGCTGAAAGAAATAAACAGCAAAGTTAGTAAAAATCCCAAGTAAACAAGGCGTGAAAAAACAGAGTATTCGTCAGGCCGGCTACCTCTAGAGCACCGACTGCCGAGGCCACAGGCGGCCAAGAAGTACTCATCATAGAGCCACTTGAAGCTCGGGACGCAGTGTAGGGGTACTTGCTCTCGTACCCCTGAAGTAGAGTTCACCCTAGTCTCTACTTTGAAGAGTCCTTTGTCTAGGATCTCTCTTTTAGCCTTTGGGGGAACAGGCGGCATGCTGCGGCCGCCTGCAAGAAGAGGCGGATCTCTGTTCCACTTGTTAAAACGTTTGTTCAGCTCCGTGTCTGAACTCTCGATAATAAGGAAGGTGTTCCGCCAATCCTTCCATTTGTTTGCCTTACCTCTCGTCATGAGGTAACCCCTGTGGCTTGTTAGTTGATACCAGCCGGTACCTCCCGACTTAGGGGTCCGGCTGAGATAGTTCATGTGGGCGAAAGCCTCAAAACTTGGCTCCACCCCGTTCAGTTCGCACCCGGCCACATAGCCGAGTACGTTTACCCAAGAGTTGGGGGCTAACTGCCATAACCCCAGATCATACCCATCTAAAATCCGCTGAACAGCCGGATGTAGTGGGAAGCGCAGACCAGCTTTGATGGCCGCCACATAGCAGCCAAAACAGCCGTCACCATAGCTGGTACCAGCCGGCCAGACGACAGTATCTTCTGGATCCGGCACAAACAGTAAATACTCCGGGCTCATTTTGTGGTTAGCAATAAAGCTCGCCACGTTGTCTCGCATGGTTGCGATCCGGCCCCGGGGCACCCTGCAGTAGTAGGGGGTGTTTTCCTCTCTGTAAGAGGCGGACGGCTCTGCCCAATTATCCCCCTTCTCCACTGCATGGGAACTTCTCGCCTCTTGTAGGCGGTTATGTTTTTCTTCTGAGTCAGAAGAACTATGGTCAGAAGAACTATGGTCAGAAGAGCTGGAATCGGACTCGTCCCCTGACGAGTCCGAAGAGGACGACTCCTCCCCTCTCCTAGAGGGGCCCGCCTCCTCTCCCTTAGAAGGAGCAGAAGGTAAATTAGACATGTCCACGGTTAGATGAGAAGGGAACACCTTGGTCCCTCTCTCAGAACTGTCAGCTTGACAGTCGCCTCGTTCCACATCTGGCGCCTGGTCAGATGTTTCGCTAAGGAGTACCCTTTGGGAGGAGCCGTCTGAGTTTGATATTCTAGCAGTCTTTTTTGTTCTGGCCATCACGTTCTGCATAGACACAGATTCAGTCGGACTTTGTATAAAGGGCAAAGATGGGTCCAGAAAAGGGCAGGCGGCACTCCTAGTCCTAGATTCAGCCGTCCCCGGTGACCGGCTGATCACTAACTTAGGGCGTGTCGTGTGCTTCCATGGTGCCATTTCAAAAAATAAAAAGAAAATTAAGAGTAAGAGAACTGAGTTACCTGAACGGATGACAGTTGATGAAGTCCTGAAAGTTCGGGTCAGTCGGCTTGTCAGAACAGGCGGTAGGCAGAAAAAGTCCGAAAATGTCAGATCAAGTTCAGGGGTCCGAATGTTCTCGCAAAAATTCTCAAATGTGAAAATGACCGAAGTCAGCACTTCCTTTTATAGGCAAAATGAGAAGGCGAAGGGTCGCTTCCGAATTCAAATTTGGGCGGGAGAGTCTCCCGGCCGTCTGCAAGGTGACACCTGTAACGGGCCGTCGCCTGTCACCGTGCGACACTTGTCACAGGCGACACGTGACCAGTCGCGTGCCACCTGTGAGGGGCAAATGATTAGGGGATTTTTATCCACCAAGCGCCGTTTGACAAGTGGACCAACCAGGTTCCGCCACGCGTCCTCCACGGACCACTTAAGACACGCCACGTGTCCACCCATGCCAAATGGGACAACCGGCCATCAAGGCCCATTTCAGTCTAAAAGCCCGATCGGCCCTAGGTTTACCTTAAACCTAGAGAGTTGCACGCTTCCCAAGGCTATAAATACTCGATTAATCCTCATTAATCAAGGGACCGAATAATTAACAGAACAAAGGAGAAACATTACGGAACACACTAATAACCGGCTGATCTCGCTAGCAAGGCAGATTACCTACATTAAATACTCTCACCTAGAGAGACCTTATTACTTTAATTTCTGTATTAATTACTCCTTAATCAGGTACTAACTTGACCGTTGGAGGCGGAGCTCTCAGGAGTCTCCGTTATTTTGCAGGTACAGGCGTCCGGTTCCAGTCTCGGAATTGTAGCTCTCCCGCAGGACATCAGAAAACCCCAAAACAGCTTGGGCAACCAATGGCTTTGCTCTAAGGGTTTCCTCTTCACTTTCTCTCTCCTATCCCTCTTTAAGCGTTTTTTTCCCCCTTTGTTTAGAAATTCAAAAAGTTACTAGAAATAAAAGACCCATTTTACTTTTCAACTTCTCAATTCACAAAATTTAATTAAAAGACAAATTACGTACTACAATACCCTTTAGTTGAGTCCTTCAGGACTCAAGTTAGTTGATCCAAAGAAATTCTCTTATGAGACCGGCTATTACTTATTGCTCTCGCCTTTCGAGGGTACAAAATTTAGACCGGGAAAAAGTGGAGAAAATACAAGTTAATATTCATGATAAACAAAAAAAAAAAAAAAAAGTGTTTATCTAGTGACATTTTTTAAAATAAGTTAACAACTTCTATTAAATGTGAGTCTCACAAATGTTGATTTATTTACGAAAATGACATTTAACTATGATATGTTATTGATTTATTTATCGAAATGTCACTCGATATCGATTTTTGTTTATCTTTTAAGGGGCTCCCTCGGAAAAGTGCGGTGCCATAGAAACAAACAACGCGCCAAAAAAAAACATTACACAGTTCCTCTTCGATCGACCAAAACTCCGACCTCCATTGAAATGGAGGAGAGGAGAGAGACAGTGAGACGAGCAGAGAAGTTGGTTGAGGAACACATGAGTGCCAACGATGCTTCCCATGATGCTGCTCACGTCTTTCGAGTTCGTGACTTGTCTCTTTCTCTTGCTGCTCAAGAAGGCCTCTCAACTTCCCCGGATTCCATGTTTATTGTAAAAAAGCCATCTTTTTCTCTTTCCTTTTTGCAATTTCATTTTTGTTTGATTGGGTTTTTCAATTGAACATTTTGTGGGTTTTTTATAATGACTAGCCAATTTTACTTAGTAAGTTGAACGTTTATGATTAGACCTAGTGTTTCCTGATTATTTGGGGAAATTCTGAATTTATCTTCTTGTTAATTAAACAAAAGTTGCTAATCTAGTGGCAAAAGTGTAAATATTTGGCCTTTTGATATTGTAGTTATCGATTTATTACGAAATTGCAATGTTGATTGTACATAGTGTGAGGGTGTGTGACATAAAATTAATGAGTAGTTGATGCGTTTGATTTGCTTTTTTTTTTTTTTTTTTGGTTAATATAGGAGACTACCTCGGAAAGGCTCATTATTTAGATTATGATCTGTTAGACAATGCTGTTCCCTATTATTCGCGGTTCACTTTAAAAGGTCCCAACTTTTGATTAACTTAAAATAGTCCTAACTTTCGAGTAGCTTAGAATGGTCCCAACTTTGAGTGGTCCACTTTAAAAGTGCTTTCTTCATTGGTGGTATTGTTAGTTTAACTTAGTATCTTTACAAGACTTTTTTTTATGGTAATAATAGTCATATTGTAGCCTTTTCCATTGAGGAATTCGATTGCTTAAAATCTATCATGCCAGCAAGGAGAGAATAGTCTTCTTTTTTTGTTAGGATGCCTATGACTTATATCACTTATTGTCTCGTACATTTTGCTCTTTGAACATTTGGTTGTTTTTTAAGTCAACTAAACACTCCCTAGTTATGACTTATATTAGTGTGCAAATATTGACTTGGGTTTGTGGCTTGGTGCCAATGAGTTGTGTGTTAACCGAAGGTTACAAATTAATACTGAATAAGTATCACCTGATTCACCTCAATAGTTGGATTTCCCTTTACTAATAGTTGCTTGCACATAATGATTGCTGTTTGCAAGTGTCTAAAAATGTGTATCCCCTTACCTTATTGAAAATTAACACTTTGTAATCTGTTGGAGACTTTTACCATAGTAAAGTGCAATAGCCTGTTTAAATTGGTACTCGAAAGAGAAAGAGGACTACGTGATGAGTGGAATAAAAACTAGCAGATAGTATTAGTATATCTTAGCATTTGTGAAGTATGTCATTCTCAGCGACTTTTTTTTTTTTTTTTCTCTATGCTTTTAGGTGGAACTTGCTGCACTGTTACATGATATAGGTAAATCCTAGTGTCTTGCATCTTGGAAGTAAAATTTTTTAGTTAAAAGTTTGAATTGAAAGAAATACCGCGCATAACGTACGAATATTACCAAAGTTGATGTGGTAATATGGGTTTTATTATACTGATTGTGTATTTCTTTGGATGACCAATTTGCAGGGGACTACAAATACGCTAGGTCAGTTATTCAGTCTTTTTAACTCTTTGCCTGAAATTGTTTCTGAGTTTTGTTCCAAAATTTTGACTACTTGATTATCAAGTCTTGCATACTGAAGGCTATACTGTGATTGAGCTTTATCTAATGAAACCTAGATGTGCAAGCCTAACTTCTGTTTTTATCAAGCAGACATTAGTATTTGCTAATGAGCTATAGATACCTTTGGAGCTTAAAATGAAATGAGTATTGTAATTTTTTGCCACACTCCCCTCTTTGGCTTTATATATGTTGATACTACGCATTTTCACATGTATTTGCACCCTGGTTTTGTGGACTTAATAAAGCCTGTGGCCCTTGGTTTTTCCTTGGAGAGGGGGTTTATTAGTCAAGCTTCATCAATTATCAATGCACTGCTAAGAAACTTGTATCTTATACTTTAAGACACAGACTTCTACTGCTTTTCTTTTTTATCGTAGAAACATCATCTTCTGTGGCCCTGACATTTTTCTCAGTATGATTATTTTTTTTTCTTAGTCATATTTTGGCCTTTGTAATGCAGAGACCCTGCCGAGGAAAATCTAGTTGAGCAATTTCTTGATAAGGAAGGCATAGAGGAGAACAAGAAGATGAAGATATTGGATATCATAAAAAGAATGGGTTTGTTCTCCTGTTGTCCAGCATCTCTTTGTAGCAAAACTTGCACTTAGGCTCTATTAAGAGAAATTTTTGCACTTTGACATACTTACATCAGCATTATTGTTTTAGATTGTAAATTATTTCTAAAGTCCACCTTAAGAATATGGTTGTTGCATACATACCCATAGTACTTTGGGGATGTTGTATACTTCACTCCAAGCTAATCTTCTCCTCTTGCACATAAAAGTGCTCGAGATTTTGAGGATTGAGAGATTGTAACTCTTAGTAAATTATCCATGCTCCCGTTGTTTATTGTTGAGACTTGAGAATGTAGACTGGGTTTTCCCTCATTATGGGTTCTATTCCTTCATTGTCGTGTTCAACCATATAAATTTGATGTATTTGCCTATGATTTTGATTTATAACCCCCTTGATTTTTCATCAATCATTGTTTTTGACCCCATAGTCCATGACAGTTGACAGTTATGCTCAATTAGATTCCTTCTGTGACTTTCCTCAACCCCCCTTTCCTCTTGAAGAAACAAGGATTTCTTATTTGTGCTTGCATATGATAATAAAAGGAAGATGGTGGATTATCTAAGTAACTGGACCAATATTTAGATTTTCTTTTATGGTAAATAGGTGATCTTTGCAGGTTTCAAAGAGGAGCTTGCAGGACTTGCAGATCAGGAATGTTCTCTGGAACTTGGGGTGGTGCAAGATGCAGATCGTCTAGATGCTATTGGGGCTATTGGTACTTTATTAATTTCTTTGTACAGTTTCATGTGTGAAAGAAGCTCCTGATGTAAACCTTTGGGAGGCTTGAATGCAGCTTAACTTCATATTGATTAGATGGTTTATATGGTGCTTGAAGTAAATAAAATCCATATCTAGGACGATGCCAACTTTTCCAACTCTACTAATTTTCTATATTGATGCTCACTGAATTCAGTTTGCTTGATAACAAAATGGTCATGCTTATTTAGTACGAAGTATTTACATAGTACTGTTCAATTTGATGATTTGGAGAACATGTCATCTTCTTCCAAGATAAAATTATACTCTCTCAATAACCGCCTCTCCCTCCCCAACTCAGTTCTCTGCTATATCAAGAATAAGGCAAACAGGAATAAGGACCATTCAGAAAAGGTTGTCAAACTAATGAAGATTATAACTGATTTCTGAATTGACCAAGGTTTTTGTCTTTTGGGACAGTGATCATGTGCCATTTTATCATGCTGTAACACTAGCCCAGTACCTTCAACTGCATCTTAATACGGTTATGATGAATAGGCTTGCATTAAGAATGTGGACAAACCTTAATTTTTTCCCTCTAATTTCAGGTATTGCTCGTTGCTTCACCTTTGGAGGAAGTAGGAACAGGGTGCTTCATGATCCTGCCATTAAGCCACGCTCTACAATATCAAAAGAAGAGTACATGAACAAAAATCAGCAGACTACTGTGAATCATTTCCATGAGAAGCTTTTGAAACTGAAGGATTTGATGAAAACACAGGTACGGATGTGATTGGCTTACTAAACATGACTTCAAAACTTCAGTCTGCAACTTTTCCTACTATTCATTTAGATTTTATTTATTGTTATTTGTCTATTTGTTCATTCATTCAGTTTTTGGATGATCCTTTCCTTTTCCGTGTCTTTAACTTTAGATTGAGAATACAGCCATTAGCGCTGTTACTTACTAAATGTGTCTGATCTTTACTGTGCCTGCATTATCATTCCACTTGTTTGTCTTTGTAGTTTCTTTAATGTCTATTTGAAGATTTATTTTTATCAGTATAAATTTTCCTACATGTATATGGTTTAGGCTGGGCGGACGAGGGCAGGGAAAAGGCACAAGTTTATGGAAGAATACCTTGAAGAGTTCTACCTAGAATGGAATGGGAGGGCATGAATAGACGGTACCAACATTGGGACTTGTAACAGAATATCATGAATTCATGATGTATACTTTTCGTGTTATTTACATGACTATTTAATGAAGCATGCTGTTATTATGAAGTGTGATTGGGTTGAAATAGATTCATCAAGTAAACTACCTTCAACTTCATGCTTATTCTTCTGTTTATTGAGCAGGTGACACAGCCTGGCTTTCTAATGTAGGCTTTTATTTTCTTGGTTTTATCACATCTCATAGAAAAGTAAGGAGGAAATTAATAAATCATTCAAGTTTTGAACCAGATTGTCATTCCCTCCAATATGGGAAAAGGGGCCATGTTTATGGCTTATAATCTTGAATCTAGTGATCGAATCGCTGCCAGACTAAAACAGGGTCATATACATGCTCCTGACTTGAAGGGTCATTTACTCATTTGAGCGTATTTAGAAATTGTCAAATTCTCTCATAGTTTCAAGATGGGCCTGAATTGGTTTTAGGGCAACCGAACCTTTAAACAACTTACTCTATCCTTTATTACTTGCCCCATTTTAATTTTTAAGGTGTTCAATTTATTTGTCCGATTTTCTTTATAATCTTTTTCTTCCCTACATATTTTTTTTTTCCTTTCAAGTCAAGTTCCAGTCACGCTTACTCACCTTTTTTTTCCTTACTTTTTCACTTGCATAGAATCATGTGCAAATGGCTATGGGCAAGTAAACCAGGATGGCGGGAGTATAATTTATTTGAGTAGGTACCAAGCTCATTCATAAATAACATGTGGACAATTAATATACTATACTATGTAACTAAGCTAATACCTTGGATCCAGGTCATGGAGTTCCGTATTTGGGGGTGGGTGCAGTAGATCTAGCCATGTTCATGTATGAGATTAATTTTACAGACCAAATGGCCTGAGAAAACGACTTTACCATCATTTCAAGGGTATGGGTTATATCTAATCTGACTTTCCTGAACCTAGTCATTCGTCAGGGCGGCACCCATCTCTCATTGGTTAGATCTTAAATGTTTATGACTGAGTTTTTTTCCAATTGTTTGGGGATGGTCCTCCCCTTTGTGGCAGTAATTAATCCTGTGCTATCCATTACAGTTAAACAACTGCAATGAATAGCACACTTGTGAAGTTGTGAGCACAGATTTAGCTGTGTTAAGAAGCCAATAGCTGAGGAGAAGCTATTTGACTTAACTCCAACATAATCACTCGAATTTTACGGCCTAACAAGATGCATTAATTATCGATTTTGTTGCTTTGTATTACTCAATAAACTTAGGTTTTGGTCGACAATAACTTTACAAGTAGCTTAGCAATCTTTGGCCGAGTCAAAACTTTACTATAATTTGTTTGGTTAAGAAGTGTTTATAGATAGCGTTTGGAGGTTGAAATTGTTTAACTTTATCAACTAGTTTTACTGAAGTTTATTTCTTTTTACCCTAACAACTTACTACCTCCTCTTTCACTCCATCCCTTATCAATGACTCTTAACCTTATTGATTGTCGCAAATTGCACACTTGCCTTTTCAAATAAACTTTTGCTTACTTCTTTTTCCTCTCCCCTAACTTACACATTTTATATAATAACTGCAAAGCCTTAGTCCCAAAATGATTTGGGGTCGGCTAACATAAATTGTCATAATAGCATATTGACATGTATGCAAATTAATACGGGATAGAGGCAATATCTAGATTGGAAATTAACGACTACCACGAGACCTCTCAATTGGTGTAACAACTACTTATGTCCTACAAAATTGAGCCTTAGTAGACCCTTTAAGGAGGAATAATGACCAGAATAGAACTTTATCATATTCTTAAATTTTATGCCATGGTACATGGATGGCTGTCCTATAAATTAGCGGACTTTACCTATCTAAAATTGATATGGGTGAGACGCCGAGACAACGATGCAGTTAACCTGGCCTGTTTGCTATGATACTTGGAGCACCCATAGGCCATTGATAGAGGTTACCTTTTCTAAACTATATGCACTCTTCCTTAATTGTTTGATCTTTCGCAGCGGATATAATTTCTGCAGTGCAAGTTAAGTTTGGTTGTCTGAGAAGCATTCTATGTAAATTAGTATGTATCAGTGGCCATTTTGTCTGAGTACTCCACAAATATGAGAATGCTTATCTTGCATAATGTTGCAAGCATTCCTATTAAGTATAAATCTTATACAGAGAGAAAATGTAACAATTAAGGATTGGGGTGAGAGGTTAGAGATCCGAGTAGTCCAGGTACAGATTACAAATATGGATAAAGGATGATAGACTGATGATAAGATCGAGAGTAGGTAGTACTCCTTACAATCTGGTCATATTTCTGTTTTAATACGTCCCAAAATAATAGACCACTTTCTAAATTTAGTAGGTGTATAATTAGAGATAGAGTTACGGAGTATAAGAGTTTCAAAGAATGAAAACATCGGTAATGTGAATATGTGATAATGTAAAATTGTACTTTAGCTAAATTCTTTGAAAATGACACTGTGATAAAGGGAAACACATTATATTATTTTGTATAGGAGAGGCAAACCATAAACATATTATTCTGAATGCTTCATTCAAAATTTTAACATCAAAACCTATGATTATTGACATACCTAAATGCACACTGTTGAAGACAATCTTTCACCCTAACAATGTATGTTCTGTTACTTCTGTATGTCTTCTCAAATTACTCTAATCATATGTATTCTTTTACAAATCCAATCACAAAAAATAGCTAAAACCGAAAACATTACACACAACCCTGTCAAACTTATAACTTTTAGTATCTAACCCTGAGGAACTTATGAAGCTCAGCTTCATCGCGCCTGATGAGATTTACTTTTAGTCCATGTTTCATGTACATAGTCAGCGCGAGCTTTGGTTCAGCAGGGTGGTTGTTCACCACCTTCACGTGATATCGTAATAGAATAGAGGCTGCAGCAAACTTCATTTGGTAATAAGCAAAGTCCTTGCCTAAGCATAGTCTAGGTCCTCCATTAAAAGCTGTAAACTTGTATGCAGACTCACTCATAAATCGTCCATCTCTAAGCCACCTCTCCGGCTTGTACTCCCTGCAGTCCTTACCCCAGATAGCTTCCATTCTTCCCATCGAGTAGATAGCGTATATTACCTTGGTACCTTTCTTTAGCACTGTCCCATCTGGGAAGACGTCGTCTTCACAACCTGTTAATTTATTAAGTATGTAGAACCTTAATTAGTGTTTGTAGAGAACCAACGTAGGATTATTAATTCTTCTTATCTTTCTGTCTGTTTCAAATAAATTTCATATAAAGTGCAAGTGTACCTGGAAGAGAGAGTGCTATTTAATCTCTGAAACAGAAATCAATGATGGTTTTTTTTTTTTTTTTTTTTTTTTTTTTTTTTTTTTTTTTTGACAATTTGAAGAATGGACGTTTGATCTAGTGGTATTATCTGAAGCCAAGTTTGTGGTATAAAGTTACAACATGGGTTGTTGGTTGGGTTGTGAAGTTCTAGATGATATATACAATTGATGACTCATTCGCTTCGGTTTCAATTTGATTGTCATGTAGTCAGATTTGGGTCTATTGGCAATTAATAGTGTATTATGAATTTATGATATCATGAATCAATCAATTGTAATCATATAAATATCCTAGTCGGTTTAAGTCATAACCGGGGTACCTTGTTGTGGGTTAAGGTCTGGCTGTTTCGGGTTGGGTCAGTTTTGCCAAGTTAAGCTCTAGATATGCACGACTTGACTCTTAGAAACTAGTAGATGGTCGGGTTACATGCTGAAGGTTTGTCTAATGAATGCAGTGCATGCTTAGGGGGTAATTAAGACTGGTAAGATATCAAGTTATCTTTGGTTTTCTGGCACTTGATTCATTGATTGAGTGTTGAATTGACAGTTTAAGATGCCTTATTCTGGAACTTTTTTCATGAACACAGAAAAATGGTGTAAACAATTGGTAAAAAAAAAAAAAAAAAGAAAGAAAGGAAACAGAGTATTTTACCTCCTTATGATCAACTGGCACTGAAGGGTACAACCTCAGAGCCTCTGAGATAGCGGCGTGTAGATAATCCATCTTCTTAATCTCCTCTGGATTGAAACTGATTAGGCCTCTAGCTCCTGCAATGTCAGCGACTTCCCTTTCGCGTATGATTCTTCCTATCTCAGCTAGAATCTTCTGCTCGATCTCTGGGTGCTGGTCGATAAGCCAGAAAAACCAGCTGAGTGCCACAGATGAGGTATCCCTTCCTGCAAGGATGAAGTTTACACATATATCTCTTAAAAACTTGTCAGAAAATGGCTGACCCTTTTCATCCTTTAACCTCATAAACACAGTCAGTAAATCAGATCTCTCCTTGCTGTTCTCATCTTGCAAAGCAAGCTCCTTTTTTCGCGTCCTGATAACTTCATCAGCAAATTTGTTTACTCCAGTGATTGATTCTTTCAGTTCTTTCTCTGGCCCAAGGTTAAGGTACCTCATTGTTTGCCATATACAGGTTGGAGTGACAAATCGAAGAACTGTGGCTTCAGTAGCTTTCTCGAATGCACGAGCAAATGGTATTTCAGGGAGTCCTAGGCTTAAACATCCAGGATCAACCCCGAAAGCTATCATGCAGACATTATCAAATGTCATCCTTAAGAGGACATCTTGTAAGTCAATAGGCAGAGAATTTTTCTGTGATTCCTCTAGGACAGGCAGGAGCCTCTTATGGACTAACTCGAACAAGGACTCAGCAGTCAGTTGTCGAAACCTTGCTGAGTGAAACTCAATGCTCGCCGTCTTCCTTTGCCTGGACCAAGTCTCATTATCCGCGTTAAAGATCCCATCCCCAAGAAGGTCTTTCAGAGTGTTTCGAAAATACCCTCCCTTGGGAAAGTTGGAGAACTTTGCCTTCAGAAGGTGCTCCAAGTTCCTAGGATCCGAAGTCACTACACACTGGAGGTTGCTGAACCAGGGTCCCTTGAAGTGGAACGTCCCATTCTGACGATTAGTAATCTCAGTAAGCCACTCATACAAGTTCTGCCTTAGTCCAAAGATCAAGGAAGGCAACATACCTACAAATGGCCATACTGGCAAACCATAATACTTCCTTTGCCTTAAAGTATGTATCACTATAAAAACCGCGATGGCAAGGAAAATTTCTAGGATTTGAACATCATGTAATGAAAAGACTCGCCGGGAAATGGCTCCCCCTCCTTCTCCTCCTCCTCCGATCATGATGTCAGAGGCGAAGGGAAAAAACGAGTGCGGGGAAGAAGTCATGTTGTTGAGGTGCTGCTTATTCATGAAGTTAGAATGAGCAATAGTATGTAAGTAGTAGTAGTATGAAAGTAAGAATAGCATGAGTTATATGAGAAGGTGTGCATGTATTTCTTGGCGTGCTTATGTTTATATAGTGGTTTTGACTTTGGTGAGCTGAAATGAGAAGCAGAGGAAATGAGAGAAAGAGGTTACCAGAAATAGTAAAAGCTGTGGGTCTGTTTTCTTGAAAGAAGAGCTTTTTATTCAGAGTTTTTGAGTCTTAAAATTCTTATCTTTCAGGAGGGAAAATATTCAAGGAAATCAAGAGTTTTAATGTATTGATTTGAAGTGTCAAATATAAGTATTGAAAGAAATATTATGGAGGATGAGAAGTGGGTGTAACGGTTAACCTAAGTGTAACAGTTAAGTGCTGATTTTGTGTTCCCGGAATTTTCTTGCTCTTTCCGTAGTGTACAAGTATAGAATCTGTGGGATAGGATTATTAATATAGGATTAGTTACTCGATAGGCCTTGTGCACGATGAATTGCTTACAACAGACTTAATCATACATTATTATTACCGTATCTTATTAAGAAGTCGGTCTTTCATAAAGTGACTTTTATATGATTTGGGATGATTAAAGTTGTTCCAAAGAGCATATGTAAACATCACATTATATATGATCGTTCATTTTAGAGGGCCTGAATTGAAAGGGTTACCCACCAAAGTCTAAACATGTTGAGATCAACAACAATTTCAAAGGTAAGGAATAAGGGTATAAACGTTCATCTAACAATTTTTAGCTAGTAATATATACTCACTTTTGCGGCCCACCCCTACATGACACTTGTCTTAAAACTTTTAAATTTACACAAGTCTAAATACATTATAAGGTACATAATTCTCAATATAACCGATTTATTTAATTCACTTTATACTCATATCGATCTATACATATGGAATTACCATCAAAGTGGGTTCCTTGAACCACCTCTAAGTTGATAACCTATTTTATTGTGCAAGTTCTTACTACTGGATAAAAGAATATCGGCCCTAAACATGTTCCTTAAACCAATACCCGGAACAATAGTGATTAGCCTAGGCAAATTGTTCAATAACAAGAATTGTAAAAATTATAATTTTGTCAAGCTGAAAAATAAAGTTGATCCTACAAGTGAAAAAATGAACGCAAGAGCACCACTAGCGATACAAGTGCTACTAGATAATAGACATACAACAACTACTACCTTGATTAATTATAGTTTTATCAAACCTTTTACCATACTTTTGTTGTACTATAATATGAGTTGGTGCTTATTACTTGATTTTTAATTTGTAACGTAAAGCTCTTATCTTTGTAATTGTTTTTTGTTCCATTTAAATATTCAATTTGAAAAGAGAGAAACTTTGATCATGTTTTATTTTAATATGCAAATTTTAGATATTGTAATAGCTTGTCATAACTTATTAACTTTTAACTATACACAGTTAATCAAAGATATTATTAGTAGACATTGCAATATTTTCCCTCCTAAACAACACAATTAAAGATAAATGGTATAGTTCAATGCAACAAGAGCATGTTTCTAGCGGACTGGCTTCTTTTAAATGCAACACGACGCGAGCATATTTCAAGCCGTCTGTTAGTGGACCAACTCAACCAAAAGCTTAAGCTGATGGTTGAGGCCCAGGATTATGTTTTACACTCTATCACGCCCCCTCACACGAGAGCCTGTTAGGCTTGAAGTGTGGATGCAACATGGGCTCTCCTTATACCCTGCGCTTAATTCCACTTTGAAAGGAGGGGTGGATGAGATTTGATTTCGTGACCTTTGTGTCACGCTGGCTCTTGATACCATGTTAGTGGATCATCTCAACCAAAAATTTAAGTTAATGGTTGAGATCCAGGAATATGTTTTATACTCTTATCACTCCCCCTCACATGAAAGGCCCTTTGGGCTAGAAATGTGGATGCAACACAGGTCTTCCTATACCTAGCGCGAATTATGATGTATTGAAACGCATTATGCGTTATGTTGAGGGTACCATTGATCATGGCTTACATTTATATTCATTTGCTTCTCATCGTTTGATTACTTACACTGACGCTGACTGGGAGGTTGTCTCGATACCCGTCATTCCACATCGGGTTATTGCTGCTTTCTTGGGGACAACCTCATTTCTTGGTCATCTAAGCGTCAACATACTTTATCTAAATCGAGTGCAGAAGCAGAATATCGAGGTGTCACAAATGTTGTCTCTGAGGCATGTTGGCTTCGTAATCTTTTTACTTGAGTTACATTGTCGACTTCGACAAGTTACTATTGTTTATTGTGATAATGTCAGTGCTATGATGCCTATCTACCTTTCTGGAAACCCGGTACAACGCCAACGCATCATGCATGTGGAGATGAATATTCATTTTGTTCGAGAAAAGGTTGCTTTGAGACAAGTTCAGGTTCTACATGTTCCTTCTAGATATCAGTTTGCGGACATTTCACAAAAGGCCTACCACAAGACTTATTTTTGGATTTTAGATCCAGCCTTAGCGTACGACCTCCTCCCGTTATGACTGCGGGGGTGTGATAGATATTATAATTATGATAATATTTGTCGCATATTAGGATAATATTTGTATATACTATGTATCCTTATCGTACTAAGATTACGAGTCTAGTAAAACTCTATATATATTGATCAATGGTACACACTCTAGATTGAAGAGTTTTCCCGAAATCTAACACGATCGACTTCTTTTAAAGCTGAAGATCTCAAGAGCTTATTGTATGTGTGTAAGATTTTCTGCCCATGCTCACCAAGTTCTTTGTTTTTCATGAAGTATGTTGATAGCATGGAAATTGGTAACTAATTAATACGAACTACAGTTTAATGTAATAATTTAATTCGATATAAGGGCATATGTTAATTAAGGAAAAAAAATCCGTTTTCGCCCATGCTCACCAAGTTCTTTGATTTTGGTGAAGTATGTTGATAGCATGGAAATTGGTAACTAATTAATACAAACTACTTTGAAGCATTGAATATGCTACGAAGTGCTATTATTAGATTTGATAACATTAAAAACCCACCATTGAATATCTCTAATTTCACTGCCTTCTTTAAAATTCTTTTAATTTATATTAAGATTAATTAATGCCATTCATTTATATTTATTCATTAGAAAATTAGAAATTCTAATGATACAAATGTTAAGCAGTAGAGAGAAAACCTACCTCCACAAATAAGAATACAAGTACTATTAAAATGAATATCAGTGATTGGAAGAATATAGACTAACATGGTACGTACATAACACCCTCGTATCCATACAAATACAAATGTTACAATAACTACTATAGCAATAAACTCGAGCATGTCGAATTTTGGGTAGCATAATACAGTAAACCGGTAACAGGAGAACCCTAAGTGAAAATATATGATCCCTAATGTTAGTTGTTTAGGAAAGTTATCTACATAAATGAAATTAATTGTTTTCAGTTATGATCCCAAATGTTAGTCGTTTAGGAAAGTAATTTGTGCTCATAATAATATTACTTTTGATCCAATATACAAATCATTATACTTATTATGTTCTTGAAAATTTTTGACTAATGTTGAATTTTATACGGTATTGTACTATTGAAAGCCTTTAATAATATTGCATGAATATAATCAAATAGCATAACAAATTGTATAGATATTAATAAGTGACATTTTTTAATAGAAAATAATTAGCTTAATTACTTGAATATTCATCCCTAAACTTATAGTTTTAGTATCCTCAACTAAAGGGCATTTATCTAGGAATAGTAAATATATATATAATTAAGGTTAGGCAAAAGAGATACCATGATGTTTCCTTGGACTTGAAATGGACAACAACAACCTTGTAAAAAAAGCCAATAGTTAGGTGGCTTAAAATATGTTAAAAAGTTTAAACTTTATAAGTGTAAAACCAAATATTACTACTATTAATTAATTACTAATACTACACGTTAATTTGAGGGTAAGACAGATACCTCCTAACTAAAAGATTTAGACTTTTGCTATTAAATTTAATTAATTATATATTGCGAAAGAATTGACAAATGATTAAAATAAATAAGAAGCCACAAATTTACAAATTTAAATTTAATATATATTTGTGGCATGAGAAGTATGCACTTGTTGGTAAGATGAAGCTTTCTTGTTTGACCCTTTAAAACACCAACATCAAATTATAATGGAAACCGACAGTTGGAAAGAAACCATTTGGACTAATTCGGCCGTCATGAACATTTCTCAAATGATCTTTAGAAAGAAAAATAAAACGGATGACCTATCTTCTTAAGAAAATTGTCTATGTGGATCATTTAATTTAGCATTATTGATAAAATACTATCGGCCCTGTTTGGTAATTAGCATTATTTTAAGCGGCACCATTGTCAAGACATTCTTTTGACTACTATTTTTTTTAAAATCGGTAAGATACAGGAGGGGTCCCCCACCCTATCACAAGAATGGGAGAAAAATGAGGATCGAACCCCCAACCACTTGAGGGAGGGGGGGGGGGGGGAGACCCTCCATCTCCAATGTCCTCTCCCTTTGACTACTAATAGCTTTTATTGTAAATAAGTAAAAAAATTAAAATTTTGATATTGTAAAAATATATTTGTTGGTTAATATGACACATGATATCATCATATACGAAATATATTTTTATATATTAGTAAAAAAAATCCGGCCAGCCAAACTTTATACTTGAATAGGGAAAAAGTTAAACTACATATGTTGGTTTAGGACGTTTTTCCAAAGTGAGCCAATTTTGGCAAATATTAACCAAAATGGTTGTGTGGCAAAAGTATTTACCAAACTAAGCTTCCAGGCTAAAACGCTGTCTCGGTCAGCGTTTTATGCCTGGGTTTTTTTAAAAAAAAATCAACCTAAAAACGCTGTCTGGGACAGCGTCTTTGTTGTTGACCTTTTTTTTTAAATTTTTGTAATTGCCTTTTATTTATAAAAATGTTTTTAAAAAACAAAAACAGTTATACCAAAGACGTTGTCCCGGATAGCGCTTTATGTACAAACTTCCTTGTACCTAAAACGCTGTCTCAGACAGCGTCTTATTTTCAACCTAAAACGCTGTCTGGGACAGCGTTTCTCTGCTGGTGTGCAAAACAGCAGCAGAATCAGCCTTTTGCCACTGCTCTGCCACTTTCTTCTGCCCCCACCCACCACCCCCTGCCATGATTCTTGCCACCACAATCCACCAACAACCCCCACCATCGACCACCATCTGCCACCACTTTTGACCTCCAACAACACTTCAACCAGTCCACCACCAACCCCAACCATTCAACAACCGTCGATAACCACCCACCACAACCAACAACACTAAAACCACCATGAACAACCACATTAACCACCACGGGCCATCCTTTCTTCCCCATTTTCGACTATGGATTCCAAATGTCTGTTGTTTAATGTACATTAGCCCTGAAGGATCTATTTTGACTGACATAAATCCGATTTGGATAAATAAGCAAACAAAACTTCAAAACACAAACAGATTCATTCAACCAGCATGTCTTATATTGATAATGCAATCGTTATATACAACATTCCAGGAAAAAGGACAAAACAATGATACAATACGTTCACTACTCATCAATTTGGTGTAACCCTTCCCTAGCCTCACTGTCGTCCCTTCGTCTTGGACGACGCCGAGTGCAATGGTGAATGGTGGTGAATGGGTTCTGTTTCGGGGTTTTCTGATGTCCTGCGGGAGAGTTACAATTCCGAGACTGGAACCGGACGCCTGTACCTGCAAAATAACGGAGACTCCTGAGAGCTCCGCCTCCAACGATCAAGTTAGAACCTGATTAAGGAGTAATTAATACAGAAATTAAAGTAATTAGATCTCTCTAGGTGAGAGTGCTTAGTGTTGGTAATCTGCGTTGTTAGCGAGATTAGCCGGTTGTTAATAACTCTGTTCTTCTCTGCTTGATCTCTTAATTATTCGATTCCCCGATTAATGAGGATTAATCGAGTATTTATAGCCTTGAGAAGCGTGCAACTCTCTAGGTTTAAGGTAAACCTAGGGCTGATCGGGCCTGTAGACTGAATTGGGCCTTGATGGCCGGTTGTCCCATTTGGCATGGGTGGACACGTGGCGTGTCTAAAGTGGTCCGTAGAGGACGTATCTGTGATTGACACGTGGCAAGCTCCTGTTGGCCTTCGTGAAGGACACGTGGCGGAACCTGGTTGGTCCACTTGTCAGACGGTGATTGGTGGATAAAAATCCCCTAATCATTTGCCCCTCACAGGTGGCACGTGACTGGTCACGGGTCGCCTGTGACAGATGTCGCACGGTGACAGGCGACGGCCTGTTACAGGTGTCACCTTGCAAACGGCCGAGAGATTTTCCCGCCCAAATTTTGAATTTGGAAGCGACCCTTCGCCTTCTCACTTTGCCTATAAAAGGAAGTGCTGACTTCGGTCATTTTCACATTTGAGAACTTTTGCGAGAACATTCGGACCCCTGAACTTGCTCTGACATTTTGGACTTTTTCTGCCTACCGCCTGTTCTGACAAGCCGACTGACCCGAACTTTCAGGACTTCATCAACCGTCACTCGTTCAGGTAACTCAGTTCTCTTACTCTTAATTTTCTTTTTATTTTTTGAAATGGCACCATGGAAGCACACGACACGCCCTAAGTTAGTGATCAGCCGGTCACCGGGGACGGCTGAATCTAGGACTAGGAGTGCCGCCTGCCCTTTTCTGGACCCATCTTTGCCCTTTATACAAAGTCCGACTGTATCTGTGTCTATGCAGAACGTGATGGCCAGAACAAAAAAGACTGCTATGATATCAAACTCAGACGGCTCCTCCCAAAGGGTGCTCCTTAGTGAAACATCTGACCAGGCGCCAGATGTAGAACGAGGCGACTGTCAAGCTGACAGTTCTGAGAGAGGGACCAAGGTGTTCCCTTCCCATCTTACCGTGGACATGTCTAATTTTCCTTCTGCTCCTTCTAAGGGAGAGGAGGCGGGCCCCTCTAGGAGAGGGGAGGAGTCGTCCTCTTCGGACTCGTCAGGGGACGAGTCCGAATCCAGCTCTTCTGGCCACAGTTCTTCTGGCTCAGAAGAAAAACATAGCCGCCTACAAGAGGCGAGACGTTCTCATGCAGTTGAGAAGGGGGATAATTGGGCAGAGCCGTCCGCCTCTTACAGAGAGGAAAACGCCCCCTACTACTGCAGGGTACCCCGGGGCCGGATTGCAACCATGCGAGACAACGTGGCGAGCTTTATTGCTAACCACAAAATGGGCCCGGAATTTTTACTGTTTGTGCCGGATCCAGAAGATACTGTCGTCTGGCCGGCTGGTACCAGCTATGGTGACGGCTGCTTTGGCTGCTATGTGGCGGCCATCAAAGCTGGACTGCGCTTCCCATTACATCCGGCTGTTCAGCGGATTTTAGATGGGTATGATCTGGGGTTATGGAAGTTAGCCCCCAACTCTTGGGTAAACGTACTCGGCTATGTGGCCGGGTGCGAACTGAACGGGGTGGAGCCAAGTTTTGAGGCTTTCG